AATCAAGAGGAAGACAGGCAAGGCAGCTAAACAGGAATGGTTTTATTTGAAACAAATCTGCAAAGGGGAAATCCTGGTGCAGCTTGGAGCGCATTCTCTGCTGACAGCATAAGGACCTTATAGGAAAGTGAAAGGGTTAGGGGGTTGTCAGGGAAGGGTCCTTATGGTCCTCATTATCATTCTCTGTGGTTGTCACTGTTCCCTGTCCAATGAGGCGTTTCTCAAGATTTCAGTCCCAGACAACAATTCTTGTTACAGGGTATTGTTTAGGTCAAGTTGACCATTGTTCTAGGTCGGAGTGACCAGGGGCAACATTTGTTCTAAGGTGGAGGATATATTTCAAAATGGCATTGCCTAAGTCAAGTTCTCCCTAACAGAGGCCAAGTTTAGCAAGACCCTAAGCAAATTGGTGAGACCCTGACTCAAAAAATAAAAAGGGCTGGGGATATCTAGTTCAGTGCCTCTGGGTTCAATCCTTAGTACACACACCACCACCACCACTACCCATTCTTGTATATGTAGACTGTCTGTCCACACTAGGTGCCTTATGCTTGCTGGGAGTTCATTTGATATCTGTTCAGACAGGGAATGGGAGGGCTATTCAGCAGTGCTGCCACACGGATGGTTTCAAGTAACTGAGAGAAGTCTGGAGGTGCATGGCACAGTGACTTGGGAATGTGCTGATGCTCCAGGATCAACGCATTCAGCTGTGGTCTATAAAACAGTGGTCTAGGGCCAGGGATATAGCTCAGTTGGTAGAGTGCCTGCCTCGCATGCATGAGGCCCTGGGTTCAATCCCTGTGCAACACGCATACACACACACACACACACAGCAGTGGTCTATTTTGTGATGCCCTTGAAAAGAGCAGTTTCTTATCTGTTTCTGTGAACTTGCTTTCTGTTAGAGATCCTGCACAAGGCCTTCAGCCACATAGATTAGGAATTTTGTTTTTAAAAAGAAAATTCCCAGTGATAGGATGGGTCTGAGATGATGTCAAGTAATTATAAATATTGTGAGAAACAGTGGACCAGGGCTCAGAATATGGAGTTTTTGTTTTTCTCTGGGCCCGGCAGTGTAAGACAAAATCTGGACTCTTCCTCCTCTAGAGTGCTGCTTGCTGTTTCCCACCACGATTTCATTGAGTGTAGCCCTTGCTGCTCTGCCACTGTCACTTATTTTAAAAACAGGTATGTCTCTCCCTCTCTTTCTAATCTCAGGGGAAACAGGATTACCTTTATTCTCCATCCAGAGTTATCTGTCCCCAGTAGACACCCACCATAGGAACGGAAGTCATCCAGACTTTGGGGATGGCATCAGAAGATCTCAGAAATGACTATCTCCCAAATTAACAAGTGAATGACGACTGCAACAGAGAACACGTGGAATGTAGCCTTTGAGTCACCTCTTTAAAAGCCCCCTGTTCCTGCTGATGGGGAGACCTGCAGCCTCTGGGACAATAATCCCCTGTGTCTCCTCCTTTGCTAGAAGGAGCAATAAACAAAGGTTTATTTTTTCAGTTTTCTCAAAACTGCGTCCTTGTCATTGGCTTGGCATCAGGGACAAGGACAGAGCTTTCATTAACAAAATGACTGTGGAGAGAGGGTGCTTCTTTTTATTTTATTTTGTGGTGCTGGGGATTGAACCCAGAGCCTGTTAGAAAGGCAAGTGTTCTACCACTGAGCTACACCTCCAGCCCCAAGAGGGGTCCTCTTGAAGAAACGGGGATCCTGGGAGGAGAGGAGTCCTGTCTGCCCCTTGTAGTTCTGCTGCTGCTGGACTTCCGACAGAAATGGCAGGCTGGAGCAGGGGAAGAAGAAATCATTTTCTCTCCACCCTTTTGAGTTTTTTAGTTGGGTTGCATCTCTGTAACAAAAGGTAGGTTAATGAAAGAAAAACAAACATAACTTAAGATGTGTACCTCATGAATACCCAGCAGATAAACCAGAGAAATGAGTGGACCTCAAGAGCCCCTCTCAGAGTTGGTTTTTAATTTCAGACTTTAATTCTATTATTCCCAAAGAATGAAGGGTGTGAGGGAGACTGTTCACCCTCTATTATCACTCAATGTCCCCAAAAGCCTGATAAACAAAAGCCAGGTGTATTATGCAGATTAAAGGGACTACCTTCTTCACTGATAATTTTTCAGTAAACTACACTCATTCTTTTCTTCCTAGTACAGAGGGAGACACCCTTAGGAATCCACATTTTCTTTATAGATGTGTCTCTCTCTCTCTGGTAGTGGAAATTGAACCCAAGGGCAATTGAACCCAAGGGCACTTGAACCCAAGGGCATGTTGCCACCCAGCTATGTCCCCAGCCCTATCTATTTATTATTTGGTATAGGGATTGAACTCAGGGGTACTCCCCCACCCTACTAAATGTGCAAGTTATATTTATAGCCAGAGAAAAAGTAAGTGACATACACAAGCAACCTGATTAGCTGGAGTGAGCATTTGCCTTCTATGGGCATGGTGTAAGTAGTTGGTAGTCTGTGCTTGGCTGAAGATTAACCGCCATGATTGGCCAAGACTCAGTTGCTTGGTTACTTGAGTATACTCTCAGGTTAGATTTCCATTTGCTTATATGTTATTATGTATGGAGACTGCTTTGGGCAACACTTTATAACCTAAGTGCAGAGATAGATTTAGGCCATACAACTTAGTATTAAAAAGTATGAATTTGGCTCTGCGAATTCTAGCCCCAGCACCTCTTCAGCACCAGCAGAGAAGAGCTGCTTCTGAACCAGTCTAGCCAAATCTTGCCAGGATTCACAGGTTAGGGCTGTCTGATCCGCCTATCTATAAATCTGTAGCTGTGGGTGGGAGTGTGAGAGTCAGCATGAACCTCAGTCATGTTGAGTGGTCCCAGTTCAGTGACCCTTGCACCACTGCATGGGAGCAGATGGCCTGATGAGTTCAGGGATGACCTATGCAGCTATAAGAGAAGATCCTTACTTACAGGGTGGACCATCAAACTCACCCATGGTTTAATCTTTTTTTTTTTTTTCTGTTGCTATTAAAAAAAAAAAAGAAAGAAAAGCTTATTTAGCTCAGTTTTAGAGGTTGACAGTCCAAATGGGTTAGTGCAAATCCCCAACTGAGTCACATCATGGCAGATGGCATCATAGTCTGCACATGAGAGAGGGAGAAATCACACAGGGAGACAGAGGCCAGTCTTGCTTTTTGCTTTTTTTAAAAAATTTTTTTTTTATTTTTTGGTACCAGGGATTGGACCCAGGGGCGCTTAACCACTGAAGCACAACCCCTTTTCATATTTTCTTTAGAGACAGGGTCTCCCTGAGTTGCTTAGGGCTTTGCCAAGTTGTTAAGGCTGGCTTTGAACTCTCAATCCTCCGGCCTCAGCCTCCCAAGGCATTGGGATTATAGGTGTGCACCACCGCTCCCAGCAGTCTGGCTTTTTTCCCCTTTTATAACCACATCTCTTGAGAACTCACCAGGGTCCTATGAGAACCCTTCCCCTCTAAATCCCTTCCAGGTAGTGCTTCTAATGACCTAATGACTTCAGTCTAGGCCTAACCTCTTAAAGCTCCTCCCGTTTCTTACCATCACCATACTATCAGGAGTGGTTAGTTATTGACTTGGTCTGAGATGCAGGTAGATTCAATCAAATCTATTTTATAAATGCTCATCGCATTTAACTGGGTGAGGCCTGGGGTGTATGCTGGGGTGTAGACTCTTATATCACTAACTTAAGTCTATCTAAGTTCTGCAGTTTATCTAAGTTTTGCAGTTAACATTACATCATAGGCATATATGTTGCTTATAGCCTTTTATCCAACACACACTATCAACAGTCAAAAATCCTATATTTCTGGTACTCATATCACATACTGAGGACCAAGCTTCCAACACATAAATCTTCATAGGACACACCATAGTACCCACCCATAGGTTAAGCCAGTGCAAAAAATGAATCAAGTGCTTTGGTATACACTAGACCCATACTGAATACTTTCTATTGTGTTGAAGTGTTCTATAAAAAATAATTGATAAGGACCTTGAGGGTAGGTTTACAATTATGTCAATGCCAGTGGGGTGAAAATGTTACTTGGAAATACTTGGTTAACAATATACTATGGTCCACTTTAGGTCTATCACCCCTCCACCCTGCCACCCTTTGATTCTTCCTCCTTCCCCTCCCCACATTACAAGGGTTTCTTGAGGGAAGGGGATCCTTCCCTGCTAGTAGTGATGTAGGACACACGAGCCTGGACACCTGAGGAATTAGCAGGAAGCAGGTTTATTGGATGCTGCCATCCAGAGTGAGGTTTGCACCTAAAGATTTCTATGGACCCCAAGTCTGGAAATTCTTGGAACTTTATACCCAGTCATGGGGTGGGGGTATACATGACTTGGAGGTTTACATTTTTGCAGGAGTCTACATAAAAGTATATATATATATATATATATATATATATATATATATATATATATATATATAAAATATATTTTGAGTTCACAAAAAGTGCTTTTAATCCCATTTTTCAGATTAGTCAGAGGTTTTACAAGTTTTACCACAAAAGTAGAAAAAAAAAAATCACATCTGTGGCCAGACTACAAGACAGAGCAAATTAGTCCTCACAAAAAATAGTAAGTCCTAACCACACTGAGTTTTATTTTGCAGAAATTTTTGCTGATATTCTGTTAATAAGAACAATTATGGTGAGGGTCTCTGGAGAAGCTTAATTAAGACTCCTTGGTGGAGGTGGGGTGCCACTAGAGAGGAGTCCAAGAACCCCAAGTTAAAAAATAAAGGCCAAGACTGTCAGTTAATTTGTATTTAATCATTTTACTTTGGGAAGAAAAATATATGTAGTCCCTCTGACTCAATCTCCAAAGTGGAGTGTGGTTATCTGTAAAGAAATGATCTATACATTTGAGTTTCTGGAAGTACTTGATTAGCAAGTTGGAGGAGAGCAGGGGCTGCCTGGGGAGTTGAATCAATGTGGTTTAGTATTGTAGACATTCAAAAACCACTCTTCTGTTTATCCAACTTTTTATTCTGAAAAGTTTCAGTTCTCTAGAAAAACTGAAGATTACACAATGAACATTCACATATCCATTACCTAGATTCATCAATTGTTAATATTTTGCTACATTTGCTTTTTTTTCCATATGAAAGACAATATTTCTGAGACATTTGAAAGCAAATTGTAGTCATCAGGATTCTGATTTAGAAGCACCTCTTAAAAATACCGATATTTTTAAAAGTCATAGCAAAACTGAATGATTTGGTAATATTCTCCAGTATATACAAAGTTCCCCTATTATCTTTCAAATCTCTTAGCACCCCCACCCCCAACCCAGAGCTAGATCAAAGGTCAACTAACTAGTTGTGGTCTCCTTTTCCTGGATTAATTCCCCAGCTTTTTGTATTTTTTTTCTGGTAATGAAACTGGAATTTTGAGATGATTTGATTCCCCGCTTTCCTCTGGGTTGAAGACTAAAATCCATGGACAATCAGAAGGGAAGAGTAAATGGTACAGGATTTATTTAAGCAAGAAGATATAGAACTCCCGCCATGTGGGAGGGGGCCTGATAGCAGAAAAACCATTTTGGTTGTTTAGGAGTTTATACGTGGTTCTGGGCTGAGCATGGAGCAAAAGCAATGTAAAATAGGTATTGAGAAAGGCATCCAGGCTATCTTTCACTTTCACTTCCAACCTCTTTCTTCCCTCTGGGTTCACACTCACCTTCTGTTTTCCGGCTCCAGGGCAAAGGAATTGGCTGAAGGTGTTCCCACTGGTGAGTCTCAAGGTCCTTTACATTTGAAATAGGCCTTGATGGTGCTCATTAATATGTCTAGCCTCCAGGTGTGTTTGAATGGGGCCCATTCATTATCCTGACTATTTTACTCATTGTACAAGATTTTTTGAGAAGCTCATTGTAATTGTTTTAGTGTTCCTCAGTTTGGATTTGTCTGATGTTTACCACCCATTTTGATTAGATTTATTTAAAACCCCTTTTGGCAGGTATATATGTGATATCAGAACCCAGTGTGAAGCTGGAGATTATGACCCATGTCTGTAATCCTAGGGACTTAGAAGGCTGAAGCAGAAGCAGGATAGGAAGTTGGAGGCCAAATTAGTGAGGCTGTATGTGAAAGTAAGAAAATAGGGTTGGGAATTTAGCTTAGTGGTCAAGTGTTCCATTCATATTAAAAAAAAAAGAAAGAAAAAGAAAAGAAAGGTGGGGAAGTAGCCCAGCTGTAAAGTACCCTTGGGTTCATTTCCCAGTGTGGAGAAAAACAAAACAACCCAATAGGGACATTCAGAGCTCTGGAGTGTGGCCCTTTCTGATGTCTCTGGCCTATGCAATCTTGAAGGCTCCCAATGTTACCGTCACAACAGACAAAAGTTAAAGCAGTGTTTGGGAGTGAGGAAAGAAAATTGGGCAATACATTTGAATCTGGAGATAGTTTTGTTAGGGGTGGGGAAGCATCTGCTATTTGCATCTAGTGAAGAGAGACCAAGAATGCTGCCAAATGTCCTACAATGCATAGGACAATCCTCAAAAAGGAATCATCCAGCTCCAAATGTCGATGTACTGTGGTGGAAAACCCAGGGGTTTTGCCAACAACATCTATCCTTTTTGGTTCTTGTCATGCTCTGCTATGAAATATCAAATACACAAAGGAAAGCTAATCATTTCTCAATACTCACCAACTGGTTATATCTCTGTATTGAAATAAGCCCTCCAGTTGGCCTGTGAACATCGTGTACCTGCCAAGTATGTCATCCGAGACCAGCACTTTAATTTATTTGAGCAGGCACATATCAATCTTTTTTTGGAAAAAAAAAGGTGCCAGCAAAATCCCAAAGAGCATTGCTAACTGACAATTGTGCTGCAGTTTACAGTGTACAAAGTGCTTTCCAATAACATGTCCTGTAATTTGAGCTGACAACAATTTGGGAGGCGGTTTATTATGATGCGGCTGAGTTGTCGCACTCGAGGAACCAAGTCGGAACCAAGTCGGTCACTGGCTTCTGGACACCAGGCTAGGGGAGGGAAGAAGGGAGAGAAGAACGCCAGACTGGATTCAGACTCCAAGTCCTGCATTCCGCTTTGCAAGAATACAAACCCTCTGATGCTTCCTCCCTCCTTCCTCCTGCATCCAACCAAGAAAATGCTCAAAAGGCATCTTAACTGAAACTGAAGTCAAAGGGGTTCCTGTGCGATCTTGGGAATTTTCAGTTCCTAACCTTGCGAGGACAGTTGGGTGAGTTCTGGAATGGGGACTAGAAACGGGACATTTCGGGCCTTGTAGAAGTCACATTCCGTCCCTACCCAACCGGGGTCAGGCTCGGTAGGTAAGGCTCTGGGGATTCTGCTGAGCCGAGTTCCCTGGGCCAGGCTTTCTGCGCGGCGGCGGCGGCGCGGTGAGTCGCTCCGCCGCCGGGACGGCCTCTCCGCAGTGCGGTGGTGGAGAAAGGCTGTCTTCGGGGGAGTCACGGGAGGCCAATTCCTTCTTTTAAAGGCCTTGCATTCCTCGGCCCTGAAGCGAGACGTCGGAGCTGAGCTGCGGTGCACAGCTTTGTTCAGCGCTCACCTGTACGGCGCGCGGCCGCGACACACGACCCTTTCCAGCTGCATCCATCTTTGCTGCGTGCAAGCCTCCGAACGACTGGCTGCTGACGTCCCAGGACCCAGCGGGCCGGTCACTGAAAGCCCTCCCACTGCGCGAAAACGAAGGCTTCTCCCACTGCCTGCTTTCCGGAAGAAGCCGCGCCCTCGCGGGCTCCAAGGGTCTGTTTTCTGACCGCCTCCGTTTTCCCGCGCGCACCTGGTCGGCCAGCCGGCGCCCCACCTTCCAGGTGAGCTCCGTTAGGCCCCGCCCCTCGCTCGGGCCCGGCCCCACTCCGCGCCTGCGTAGTGCGGCCGACGGCGCGGGCGCCGGGGCGGCGCGGCCGTCGCAGTTCGGCGGCCGCAGTGCGCGTGCGCCGTGGTGGCCGGGGGGCGGGCGGCGGCCGCGGCGAGGAGCGGGGGCGGGGAGGCGCCGTCTGGCTCGGGCTGGGCCGGCGGGAGCGCGAGCAAGCCACGGCGGACCCGCGGGGCCTGCGGACGGCGGCCTCGGTGGCCGGCAGGTGAGGAGTGCGGGACAGGCGTGGGCTGTGAGGGGAGCGGGCAGCCGACGCAGCAGTGGCCGGGACTCAGGTGAGTGCGGCCCGCGGGCCCGGGGCGCATTGTCCGCGGGCGGTGCCCCTCAGCGCCCCCTGCTGGCCGGGCGCGGCGGGCCCGGGCGCGGCGGGCTGGGCCTGGGGCGGACGCGCGCTCCTTTGTTCGTTGCCCCCACCCGTCCCTGTCGCCCCCGCCAACATGGCGGCTGCCCCCAGCCCGGCCCGGCCCCCGGCCCCTTCGCGCGCGCTTTGTTCGGAGCTGGGCGGGGGGCGGGGGCGGCCGCCTGCGGCAGCGCGGGCGGGGGAGCGTTGCATAACCCCGGCTGGCTGGGGGAGGGGCGTGGCGAGACCCCCGAGGGCGGCGGGCTCCCGGCTCGCGGACCCGCCCCGGCCGCCCCTCGAGGCCGGGGGTCGCGGCGGGCCACTGCGGCGCCTTCCGGGGGCGGCGTGCTCCGGAGACACCCCCGCCCGGTGCGTGTCGGCGGGGGGCGCGGTACCCCATTCTGCGTGACCTTGGGTGTGCGCGCAGGAATGCGCCCGGATGGCTGTGCGGGGCCGGGACTGCGCAGCGCGGAGGGTGCGTTCTCTGCATCGGGGGTTCGTGTGAGCAGTGGCCTCGGTCAGCGGCGTTTCATGCGCATCTCGAAGTTTGTTTACGCAATTGTTTTTCTGTTGATTTGCTTCTTATAATTTGTGAATCGGTTCCGGTTGGGGGGGAGGTTCCATCCATGTTGAAGTGTTTCTGCCCGCGGTAAAAGGGCTCGTTGGCTATTTAGCGTGTACATGAAAACGCCAAACCAGGTAACGTTTAAGTGGCTACCAGGTTCCACTACGTAATGCGACTGGTGCTACGACGAGATCCACACCGAAATGCGAAAACCTCAGTAACTTTGTTATGTTCGAATTTTCTGGAAGGAACTCTATGCAGTCTGAAAGGATTGATGGAGAGTACAGTAATTGCTTTCAGCATAGCTTTTGTTAGGCGGTGACTGTTAAACTTGGGGGTTTATACCTGTACATCTTGTGCACTCGTGAACACCCTTAGAGGTTGTGAAATTTTGGAAAGGTTAAGTGAGACGAGGAGGCTTGTGTCAGCTTTTCTCCCCCACTTCAGCTTTACTTAAAATTGTAACTAGTAATTTGCAGAACGTTCATTATCAGATTTGATAATTACATATTAAGATTGCACAATATGTTTATGTCCAAATTGTGGGTAGTGGGTTTTAGTTTCTTATGAGAAAGTGACATTTAGTTTTAATCTTTTAAGTGGTAGTTACCACTAAAAATGATTTTGAAATGGATCATGCAAAAGGGTCAGTGGATACGTTCAATTTATCTCCTTATGCTAATTAAAAAAAACCTGTTTTCAATGATTCCCTCAGATATCAAAATCTGATGCTTAACTTTCTTACATAAGTCTAATATTTACGTATAGTTTACACACATTGCAATTTTTCCATATATTTTAAGTAACCTCTAGATTACCTATAAAAACTAATACAGGGCAAATGCTATGTAAATAGTTTTATTTAGGCAATAAGGATAAGAAGGGAAAGCATGTACAGGTTTAGTACAGACACTGTTTTTTTCCCCAGATATTTTCTGTTAGATTCCTTGAATCTCTGGTTGTGCAGATAATGGGAAAGCTGGATTGTCCTTTTTTTGATATACCTTAATTGCCAATTCAGAACAAAATAGCAGTATAATATATTATTGATAATAATTTTGGAATCATTGCGGCTTAAGGTGGCATTCTTTGTGAAGCTAGTTCTCCCAGGTGCAATAGAAAAAAGAAGGTTCCTTGAACAGTTTGGTTTGAGAAACACTGGTCTATACTTTTCTCTTGAGCATCACAATTCATTTTACCACGTTGGAGGCTCTCAAATACTGCCATAGTGTTTTCCATAGTAGGCCCAGAACCCTTTGTTCCCAGTGGGACATCTGTGAATACCCATGAAATTCAGTAAACGGATGTTCCCTGGAATAGCCATGGTGAAATTGGGGTCATAGTTATTATCGAAGAACTAATTTACGATAGTTTAAAGATCTTAATTGGCTTTGTGATTCTAGAATCTGGCAACAGTTCATTCTGTAGAAGAGAATGTTTTCCAATAAAATGAGCAGAAGAAGCTGGTTTTATTTTCCTGGGTCTGTTTCTCACTATGTGGCCCTGGCTGGTCTTGAACTCATAGTGATACTGGGACTACAGCCACACTGCACTGGGTTTATAGGCAGACTAGGGCTGCCCAAAGTAGAAAGAAGGGAGAGTGGATTGGTCTGGTTGCGGCAAAGTTACTTTCCTTATAAGGCCAGTACAGGGAGAAAACAACAGAGAAATAACTGATGGGTTACCACTAGGTTTCTTCAGGTTACGTTTTTGTCAGGTTTAAAGCAGAGGGGAATTCATTGTCATTGGGTTTAAAACTAGCTGGTTTGGGAAATTTAGCTCAGGCGATTTCTATGAAAGTCAGATAATAACTTAGTTTCAGTTTGGTTAACCTTAATATGAATGGCTCCATTTTATGCTGGTCTGTTGTGGCCTAGAGGCAGAAGCCTACTCAAAAACAATGGCCTCTGGTAGTTTTTATCCAACAGTGTCATTACACTGTAGCTAGATAGTGGTTCCCCATCCCTTTCTTGTGAACTTGAGGCTTTAATGATGAGGTTTGTGCTTACCTCTCAATCTTGTGGGTAGTTTCGTAAATGTGGCAATGTGGCCCTTACATTGAAGGAAAGTTATAGGTTTTTTTTTTTTTTTTCAGGAATTGAACCCAAAGGTACTTTCCCACAGAGCTACATCCCCAGCTCCCCCCTTCCCCTTTAAGGTAGGACGGTTACTAGGTTGCTTAGGGTCTTGCTAAATAAATTGCTGAGGCTGGCTTTGAACTGGCGCTTCTTCTACCTCAGCCTCCTGAGCTGCTCCGGGATTACAGGTGTGCACCATCCATCAGTAGAGTTATGGTCTTCCGCTGGAGGCAGTTTAATTACAGTGTTTTTACTTTTTAGTAGCTAACCTGATTGCACACGCTGTTACAACTTACTTCCTAATTGTTAGTGTCTTTTTTTTTTTTAAGTGTCTTACTGGTCCATGGTAGTACAGAACAGTGGGTTTCATGGTGGCATGTTTGTACATGCATGTAACATAATGTATGAAGAGTTTTACTCCTCACTAACTCCCTTTACCCTCGGGTCCTCCCTCCCTCTGATCCTTTTCCTCTACCCTAATAGTTTACCTTCTGCTTTCATGATGATGTCTTTTTTTCCCCTGTAGCTTCCACAAATCACAGAAAACATTCGATACTTGTCTTTGAGTCTGGCTTATTTCACTTAATGTGATGTTCTCTAGGTTAATCCGCATTGTTGTAAATGACAGGATTTTTTCTCTTTTTTTGGTTGAATAGAAAATCCCATTATATATTTGTACCACATTTTCTTTGTCCAGTCATTTGATGAAGGACACCTAGGAAATTCTGATTTGTGTTGTGATGAACATGGATACACTATTGTCACTAAAGTATGCTGATTAAATGGATAAATACTGAGGAGTGGTACGTTTGGTTCATATGGTAGCTCTATTTTTATTTGAGGAACCTCTGCACTGATTTCCAAAGTGGCTGTACTAATTTACATTAAGAACCCCTCCCCCCACTCATTTATAGTTATTTGTATTCCTGATGGTTGCATTCTGGCTGGAGTTACATGGAATCTCAGGGTAGGTCTGGTGTTGTGTCTCCTGACCCCTGGAGTACTCTACCACTTATGTGGTGCTGAGAATCAAACCCAGCGTCTCATACTGAACCACAAACCCAGCCCTCCTCAGTCCTTTTTAAATTTTGAAACAGGGCCTTCCTAAATTGCGGAAGCTGGTCCTGCATTTGTGGTCCTCCTGTTTTAGCTTCCCCAGTTGCTGGGATTACAGGCTTGCACCACCTACTGGCTCAGTGTAGCTTTGATTTGCATTTCCCTGATTTAACTAAAGGTTTTGAATATTTTTTTCAAGTAAGTGTTGGTCATTTGTATTGTTGAGGTGTCTGTTCAGTTCATTTGCCCATTTATTGAATAGGTTATTAGTTTTTTGGTGTTGAGCTTTTTGAGTTTTTTATATTCTGGATATTAATCCTCTGAAGAGTAGCTGCCAAAGACTTTCTCTTATTCTATAGGCTCTCTTTAAGCTGTTAGTTGTTTAGTATCTTTTCAAAAGTGTGTTATAAATACATGAAAAGAATACTATTTTTGGAGTAGTTGTGGATTATTTAGAAGTTAAAAATAATGCCTGCAAGCTTTTCTTTTGGTATAACTGTTAGGGACCTCAATTTGCTGAGGAGTATATAAATATATTAAATACTTGTTTTATTAGATATTTAATTAAATGTGTTTCTTTCTCTTTTCCTGACTGAGAAATTGGAGGAAGAGATTTTTGCTCAGTTATCTGGTAGAGTTTGGAAGATGTGGTATCATGAAGAGAACATAGAGGCTCTGGAGTTGGTGATCAAATCAGGACCCTCTGGGTTGGAATCAGCCCCACTGTTTATTGGCCCAGAGCCACACAGCTGATTCATCACATGACCTTTTTAAAATTCAGTTTCTTAGCTGTAAACTGAGATGAAACCTGTCCTATAAGACTATGATGAGAATTAAATGAAAGGGATTCATTAGAGTTCTCAGTATAGTTCCTGAAATATAATAACTGGCTCTAGTAAACCATTGATTTCTTTCCTCTTTCCAATTTTG